GATTTTGATTAGTTGTTATTATAAATCATATAATAATTAATAAAAAAATAAAAATATTTAGCAATAATAAAACTTTAGAATATATTAATAAAAATTTTTTTTAAAATATAAGAAATAGAATAAGTATTAAGACATAATATGTATAAATTTTATAATTTTTGACTGCATAATTAATGATTTAAAAATTGTAAAAGTTGAAATTTATAATAAAAATATAGTAAGTGGATTCAAACTTTTAGAAGCAATCATATTTAATTAAATAATTTTAATAAAAAAATTTTTATAAATAAAACTATATATTTATAAATTTATTTTTATAATATTTTTAAAATTAATTAATTATAAAAATTTTTTATTTTTAATTTAAAATTTTATAAAATTATATTATCAAAATTTTTAAAAAAAAATTTTTTTTAATTTACAATCATATCATATGGCTTAATCTTTATTAAGAAGTTTATAACTATCTATAATATTACAGATTTTTTATATAATAACCAATTTATTATTATATAAAAGTACTCTAAATCAGATTCGAGAAACAATATTTCATTTCTCTAGAAAATTAATATATATATCTATTCTCTAGATTTATTATCAATAGTTTGTTACTATAGATTGCCTATAAATTATAAATTATTAAATTAAAGAAAAAAAAGAAAAAAAAGAAATAAAAAAAGTAAACAATTCACAATTTCATAAATAAGTTTTAAAAAAAAAGCAATTCTTTTCTCAAAAAGATCTGTCTAATTGTGATAGATTTTTTGCTTCTCTTAAGTCTCAGAAAAAAAATTTTTTTATTATTACCTATAGTATTGGATAAGTCAATTCAACTAGTACTTTATTTAAACAAGTATTAGATCAAAATATTTTTAGTGAAGTATTTAGATCTCAACTTTTATCTATTAAAGCTTTGTTATTATTGAAGAAACTTGGAGAAGAGATAAAAATTTGCAATTCATATTATTTATCTCTTAGTCTTTTAATATTATAAATATTTTCTTTAAAGAACTTGAGTTTCTAAGAAGTATATGTTTTTAGAATATTCTTTCCAATTATTAATAATATCATCAAGACACATAAGTATAATTAATAAAAACTTGTTTATATTTTAAAAATTAATCTGTTTTATATTAATCAATTATTTTTAATAAAAAATTTGTATTATATAAAATTCAAGATCAAACAGAGATAGGTAAAATTTCTTAAAAAATTGTGAAAATGAAAGATTTAAAAGAATTTAAACAGTTAGAAAGAAAAAAATAAATCTTTTTATTATAACAAAATTTCTATAATCTTTCACTTTAAAGATTAGAAAAATCTTTAAGAACTTTACAATCAATTCTTCTTTTTTTGAAAACTTTTTTATTATTGATATTAAAGGTGTTATTCGATTTTTTTGATTATTAGAAGTCAAGTTTTTGAGTAAAAAGATTTGCAAACAAGAAAAGAAATATAGAAATGATTTTTGGAATTAAATTTTATGTTGTTTTAATAAAAGTATTAAGACTTTATTAGCAAAAAAGTATAAAACTTTTTGTAAACATCTTTTTTTGTATATGGTTAAAGGACCAATAGAAAGAGTTTTTGAATAAATATTTCAAAAAACTATAATAAAAAGAGTTATTATATATTATCAATAAATAAAATTTATACGAATTATTTATCTATAATATTTTAATTTTTTTTAATTATTATATTTTGTAAAACAAAAAATCTTGAAATAAATTTAATATAAATAATTTATTATTTTAATTAAATATTTACTATTTTTTATATACTATATATACAGATTTTATATTATAGTATCAAAACTTTTTTTTATTATTAATTCTTTATAGAAATAATAAAAAAGTTAATAATATATAGATATATTAATTTTATTAATAATTAATTACTTAATAATTAATTACTTAATAATTTTTAAATATCTTAATTCAGCATTATCTTTGATTAAATATAAATAATTGAGTAATTTTAAGATATTTAATCTAAACACTTTATATTATAGTAATATACTATAAATAATTTTAATTTTTATACTATATTGATTTACAATTTACAGTATTTACTGATTTGTTTTCATTTACTGATTAATTTAGTTTGTTATAAAATTTCCATTTTTACTACTAAAAACATGTAGCATCTAAATTTTAGAAACAAGTGATTATAAAAATTCTTTTGTTAACACATTTTTGTTCCATAAGTAATATCATTGATAATCGATCTCTTTATCCAATCCAAATTACTCACATGATTTCACCTGGCTTTAGCCATTACGGCTGGTCACCCCACCATTGGTCGAACCAATCGTTGCCATTTTTTAATTAGTAATTCCGATCAGAGACAAAGATAGAATTCGATTTTGCCATGCATGCAAATTTTATTATAACGTGCATTAATATTTTTTAATTCGTCAAACTCGAATCAAGTTCTTGTCGTGTTATTAATTTTTACGCGTCCCAAAATTAAATTGACTTCTATTGTTCTGATTAAAAAATCCACTCGGCGCATTTTAGAAATAGTTAAAGTACGCTGTACACCCTGATGCACATAAGACAAGGTATACATGCATGTGAAACCAGGAATATGTAGTGATATATTAAATTAACCTGTGCACGCACTAATCACATATTCGTTAAACCGAATACACTGGATGCAATTAAATTTTCTTGTATAAAAGAAAGTTTGGCTTGTCGCATGGAGTTGACATTCATTAGATTTCCCTTTCCGACTCCCCCTTCCTCTCCCTTAATCGCTTCGTCCACAACAAGTCTTACATTCCATTCGTCTTTCCTTCATCTTTCCTTCTACCTCGAAAACCTTAATCCATGCAGTAACAGCCAGATACAGACTTGTTGAAATTTCACCATTCTATCCGCAATACAATAAAATGTCTCGTTCCTTTACTAACGGGTTAATCTTAATACTGGCATTATTCGCCTTACTAACCAGCGCAGCGAAATCCACCAACTCATGTCCTAAACTCAGGCCACGAAGTAATAGCGACACCTCACGTTACATTATAATTCTGGGCTCCGAAAAAGCGCAATCGCATTTTGACTTTTTGAAAAATTGTTATGGGAAGCGTGTGGAGAAAGTTGACCATGGTCCATGTTCAACCGATCCAGATGTGATTTCTGATTTCTCGGCGCCGGGATGTATAACTGGGTACACGGGAAATTTTGGATCGGAGGAGACAAATGAATTATCCAAATTGCCGGAAGTTTTTATTGTTGAAAAGGATACAAAGGTCCAAAAGACTGACGAAAATTGGATGAGAGTTGTGCGAGATTTACGGAAGAAAAAAATGCGAAAGTCGCCACCACATGATTCACATAAGAAAAAAGCGCCGCCACATGATTCACATAAGAAAAAAGCGCCACCACATGATCCAAAAGCGCAAAATGTGCCACAATATAATACGCAGTCGAATGCTCCGGCGGTAGGGGATTATTATTATATTTTATCTTAGGCATGTTAAGTGTTCCATCATAACAATTGAAACCGTTTCACGCAAAAAGGATTTGAACCGAATCAGTCAGGCCAATCTTCCTCTGAATGGAAATTATGTATATCCAACATCCGCAGGACAAGGAGTAAACGTATACGTGGTTGATACGTGAGCATTTTTAATGGTACCCATGAATTGCGCGTTCGAGTTCGTTCTAGTTATTAAAATTACTTTCAAAAAAATTTTTTTTTTTGTTGTTTGTTTTTTTTAGCGGTATAAATATCAATAACACCGATTTCGGCGGTCGAGCTCACTGGTCCGCCACCTTTTGCTCGGGATGCCCTAATTACGATGACAACGGTCACGGTACGTATTGCGTCACGAGGGTACGTTTTGCGGATATCGCGTTCAAATTTTTTTCTCACTACACTTCTAATGCAGGTACTAATGTTGCCGGTATTGTAAGTGCCTAATATCATCTCTTAAAAAAAAAATAAAGAAACTTGAGAATTTACTTTTGCAACAATTTCAAATTAAAACATTTTGTCAGGTCGGAGGTAAGAAACAACATCAATAAGTTAAACATTATAATGTACTCGGCATGGACCATTACTAAAATCATTTTTAATTTAAACAATTAGGAAAAATTTATGGTGTCGCCAAAAAAGTAAATCTATATGCCGTCAAAGTTCTCAACTCCCAAGGTGCCGGGGACCTATCGACAGTGATTGTCGGGTTGAACTATGTTCTTCAATTGCATAAGAAATACCCCAATCAAAACACTGTTGTCAAGTATGTCTTTGCCGGTCATAATATCCACTTCTTGGAACCTAATATTTAACAATTACGACTTGATTTTCCCGTTCAGTCTTTCATTAGCGACCAGCAACTCATTATCTCTAGTAGCCGCCGTGAACTCTTTAACCAATAACGGAGTTCACGTGGTAACTGCAGCAGGAAATGGTTATGGGGCCGACTCGTGCACGTACTCACCTGCAAATGCCCCCACGGCCATCAGTGTTGGATCCATTGAAAGTGATGATTCTGTCAGCAATTTTTCGAACCTCGGCAAATGCGTCACTTTATTTGCTCCAGGTAAATTCGCATTTCACTTTGTCCCGTATCACCGAACCTACGACTGACGTGATGTGTTCGGAAATTTTCAAGGGCGGAATATTTTATCAGACGGACCGAACGGTAAAATTAGTACACTTGAAGAATCGGGAACCAGTCAATCGGTAAGTCCTTAGAGTTGTCCATTTCTCTCTACATCTTGACTCACGAATTTCTCTCTCCATCTCTCTCTCTTTTTTTTTTAAAAGTCACCACACGTAGCCGGTACCGTAGCACTAGTCATAGCTCAGCATGGCAACATGTCTCCGACCAACATGAAGAACTACCTCATTAACCTGTCTACCAAGAACGTGATAACGGGTCTTGATTCGACTACTCCGAATAGACTTTTGCGCATACCACACTCGTAAAGAAAGACCAACCTTGAACTAGAACTTTCAAATAGATAAGGGTTGTTGTTTTTTTCAACGTGAAAACCAAACCAAGTCACAAATGTCGGTCTTGATTAATCCTCGAATTTTTTCGCACTTTTATGCGCGACTCTTCTCCATTCTTTCGCTCATCATTTTAAGATTCGGGTTCGAGACTTGAACAGAAATAATAAATAAATTCATAAAAAAAATAATAGGAGTTCGATTAAATGTGAAAAGTGAAAACTTCAGCTAAAATACAGTGTCGATAAAGGTTTTTGTGATCGATTTATGTTGTTCAGAGGGAAGGACCATGCGATCCGGTGTTTAGTTTATACAAGGGCCCACACACTGTTTAATTCGATCATTTAATTTTGCGCAGCACAGGAATTTTTAACGAGGTCATCACGAATGGATGACCGAAAAATAAAATTTTATTGACCCATCTCACACGCCACTGCCATTTTGTACAATGCAAGAAGATAGATAATACGAGTGTGTTTATGACAATTCAAACAGGCCACTTTTTTTACGAAGGAATTCGCAAGAATACATTTGGGCTACCATTCGAAGCGTTTTTCAAGACATTCTTGGTCGCCAAACCAATCAAAGTTTTTGCCATCTTAGCGGGACTCGAATTCCCTTTCTCACCAATAATTAAAGCCACGGTCCCTACAACATGAGGTGTGGCTTGGCTCGTGCCCGAGAATACTGCGACGTCGGTATTGCTGCCGATACCTACCGAAAGGATGTTTCGACCTGGTGCGAAGATGTCGACGCATTTGCCGACGTCCGAGAAATCTGTGATGTCGTCGGATGTATCTTCGGTCGCCCCGACGGTAATGGCTGACGGCTCGGAGGCGGGTGATGACCCGCAAGCATCGGCAGCATCGTTACCGGCTGCCACAACAACGTGAACGCCGTCATCGGTAAGAGATTTCACTGCTTTGTTCATGGCTGCGGAGAGAGGACCTCCGAGTGACATGCTATAGTTTGTAGGAGAGCATTTAATGAGTAAACAATGTTTTCTTTTTTTTGACCCACTCAAAAAAAATTTTTGACGTACTTGACTATGCTATTTTTACGCTTTTTGTGATCGGTGAGAACAAACATCAGACCACTAATTACATCCGCACTTGTTCCACTACCATCAGCCGCCAAAACTTTAACCCCAATAATATTGGCCTTTTTTGCAACCCCAAATGTTTTACCGGCGACAATTCCGGATACGTGAGAACCGTGTCCATTGTCATCGGTTTGGGGGCAACCAGCGCAGAAGGCACCTCCAAATGTGGCGCGTCCTTCAAATTCCTTATGACTGACCAAAACTCCACTACGGTGCAAATTTCGAGAGGTTGTTAGAATACATTTTTGAAATTGGAAAAGGTATTATAACTAGCACTTACGTGTCTACCACGTATACAGTGGTACCGGATCCAGCCGACGTGGGAAAAGTGTATTTTTCATCCAAAGGGAATTTGGCTTGATCTATACGATCCAAATTCGGATTTGGGTTTTTTTGAGTAGTATCATTGGATGGCGGTATGGCCGCGCTGATCTTCACAGGTGCATCCTTCTCGACAAGAAGGGTTTCTTTACGCTTCGATAATTGTTCAGTCACAAATTTGGCATCAAACCAGGCAGTGTATCCATGTACTTTTCCGTCCACGGAAAAATCTATAACCTTATTCTTATCAATCGTTGTTGCGGAAAAATCGGTGGTGGAAAGCTTTTGCGTTGGTTTACTTAGACAGCTGTTCAACCACATCAGATGATTGGTGGTACTTTTGGCAGATGTGGGATCAAGGAATACAATATATTTCTCTCGTGGGCCACTGTAGGAGGCAGACGAGAAAGAACAATTGAGTTGTTGCGCCGGATCAACCGAAACCACGAGACCCACAGCTAGCGCGATGGTGACAATGAATATGGAGAGGGGTGACATTTTTTTTGAAATTTAAAGAGGGTGAGGGTGTAACGAAGAGAATGTGAGAGAGTTTGCTAGTTGGTATGGAAAGGAAGGAAGTAAGGAAGGAAGGAAGTAATGGAATGGAATGGAGACAAGGATTTTAAAAAAAACCGAAGTAGGTGATCTATTTATACACATTCCTCTTGATCGACAAGGTTGAATTTAAAAATTACATAACGTCACGAACGAAGCAAACCGAGTACCTTTTGATTATGGTACATTAGTTTAGTCCAATGAACCCAATTAAAACTTTCTGTTAAAGATTTTTAATATCAATTAAAATCTGCAAAGAGTTTAACCAACTTTTCCTGAAACCAAATGAGGCCATAATAGTAAAGACAAGGTGTTGTTATTTAGACTGAAACAATTTCATTCGTATGCACAGTAATTCAAAGAAAATTGAGCTAGATCAAGGATCTGCACAAGGGTTCTAACGGCCTAATTGTTATTTCCTGGACAAACACAAAATTTCTTCCCATAATAGAAACGTGTCTCATTTACTTCCTGCAAAGGTTTCGGATCTCAACATGCTATAACAAAATGAGTAGAGAAATGTTAGCATAGTTAAAAATTTAATCCCCTCAACAAAAACGTGCCGACTAGTTTGAACGAATAAAACTTTTTGTAGATCATCGATATACAGTATTTATTATTCTATGTTCAGTTTCTTCTCCGCACGACGGTTAATCTACAAAACAATTCGATTACATGAAATTTGAACCCGCCAGTCATCGCGTTAATCCGTGTCACCCTCACGTGAGTCATTACTGGTGAAGATAAAGAAAAAGTACCAATTAATTACATAGAATAAAACATTGATCTTGGCTGGTGACAGGTGAGGATGCCTTAGGTTCTAGGACATCAAAACAAGGTCAATAAGTGAACTTAACTAGCGTTCGAAGTCCACCGACAGTCCATATTCGCAGCAAAATATGCCCCCTTTGATTTCATTCATCATTTACTTCCTTGGTCTCGAGAATACTGGCACTGTGGGAATTCAATTTTCACTGCAAAATGCAATGGCATGTTTGGAATAAAAGATCACGAACGTTGGTATATTTACTGATCATAGAAAATCTGTATAACCCCATTAACCTAAATTGTTCAATTTGAAAGGATCCTATCCAAAGTTTCTTCTTTTATGACGCAGTCAAGAACGCGTATTGGAGTCTCGGGCGATCGCGTTTTAATAAAGGAGAAAAGGATTGGTTACGTTCCGTAATGCTGCGTAAAAGAAAAACGAAAAGGAAAAGTTTATATGCGCATATGCTCTTTTTCTTTGATTTGTGGAATTCTGTATTCTATGCATCCAGCTTCAATCTCCTATGACATCGCCCTCACTATATTACCGAAAACATATTTTCTACTGCGAATAGCGAACCGCTTGAGACGGCGATATTATTGTGCATCAGGTAATGAAGGATGACGATATGTTGCAACGAAGACTCATAGAACATTTTCGAACGCAATTAAAGAACAAAATTTTGATGATATTTGGCCACCAGGAACAGTCTTGGTCACATTCTCGGAACAATTCACGCAATTAGGATTAATTGATTGGTTCAGCATTTCAATGAATATCGAACAAAGATGCGTGTTCACAATGAGAACGGTGCAGATTGTAATAATCATTACATGCATTGTTTGGATACTTTTTGGAGGCAGATAAACGTTTATTTAACAGGTATTTCCTTAAATGCTCTTTTTTTAAAGAAATCCGGGAAGTTTTAAAGGCTAACCATGGCATGCGCGATCGATGAAATTTGGTCCAAGAATATTTTACCAATAAATACTGCCATACTTTATATGAAAGGTGCAGTATGCTGTATTTTATCGCCTAAGAATTTCAAATTCTTCCGATATGAAGAAATCATCGTTCCACTTTATAATTTATCATACAGCAAGCACATTTATAAGTTTAGACCTGGTAAACAGAATATGGCGATGAATAAAATTTCTCTCATCTAAAAATATATAATAAAAGAATTATTGGCGGGATCAAATTTCATAATGACCAAATTTTTTAGCTTGCATAATGTATGCACCTCAATGTTACATCGCTTATTAGTCGTTTACCACGAAATCGCCATTATATCAGTTAAAAACTTTCTCGTCTTTTCTATTCTAAAATAGTCATTGAAAACATGAAATCGTAAAATCTGATCTGGTTACTATGCGGTTGGCTCAAAAATTTAAAGTAAAGTAGCGGCGTATATGATAACAGTAAAAGGTACACGTGAAATAGTCAATCGAAAAACTCTTTTTGCTAATCCGTATTCGGCATGGGTTTTTTTATTCTTTGATAAAATTGACCATACACCTACACTTTATTAGATACAATAAAGTAAGCTTCTATTATTCCTCTTATCTCTCCTGTTTGCTTTTTTCTATTGGAAAATGAATATTTTTTATTTTCAAAATGAATGAATAAATTTCCTTCTCCATCTAACCTCCTAATAGTAGGAAAGATACTTTAGAAAGAAGATACACGAATTTCTTCTATCTCCATCGATAAGATGGAAGTCTTTAAAAGGTCTTGAATATGATTGAAGATGTCGTCTTCTTGAAAATCTTAAAGGTGACTTCTTGAAATATGCTGGGTATAAATTCTTAAATTTCATTTTAAGGAATTTGTCCTTAAGTCTTTGATTGTTTATTCTATTAATTAGAAATCTACTATAAATTGGATAACGATATGCTGTAAATAAAAGAAAAGATAAATAATTGGATATCTTACATCTTTTCTATAAAAATCTGAGATCTACTGTATTATAAATAAATGTCAGTACAGTACGTATCAATATTAATATATTGCTATGATAAAGAAAGAAAATAACCAATAATAAAATTTTTATTGAAATATTTATTGTTTTCGATTGGGGGGTTTTTTTTTTTTTTTGCTAAAATACGATTTTTATTAGTAGCATTAATATTTAATATACCGTACTAAAAAATAGAAATATAAAGAAATAACTTTATTGAGACATTGAATAAACATCCGCAATATTATATAGACTATTCACATAATGGCCAACCTATTATTATATATTAATAATTGAAAGATTAACTACTTTAAAAAGATAAAAAGTTTACTAAACTAGTTCAAAGCAAACAAAATAAAGTCTGAACTAGATACTTTAAATCAAATTAAGGGATAATATTTTTTTTTTTTTTATAAATTGATACTAATAACTTTTATCTACTAAAATTATTATCAATAGTTTGTCATTTTAAATTGTTTCAAAAAATAATAAATTTCTAAATTAATGTATTAGAAAAAATAATAAATGAATAAATAAAAATAATTTAAAATTTGTTTAAAAATTTTATATTGAAATTAATAATCTTCTCTTAAAAAGATATGTTTAATTAAAATAATTTTCTTGCTTTAAATTTATTCAAAATATCTAAAAAATTATCTTTTTTATATTAATTATTTATTTTTGATAAGAATTGTATTGCTCAAAAATTTAGGATCAAATTAAAATAAAAAAAATCTTTACAAATGTTTATTTTAAAGTAAAAATTATAAAATCAATAAAATAAAATTATCTTATATTGATTTTTTAAGAAGATAAATTAATTATAATTTTTTAGTAATATTTTATAAATTAAATAAAGTAAAAGAAATTTTTTTTTTTTTTTAATCCACAATTATATCATAATGGCTTGTCTTTATTGAAAAATTAAAGTAAATCTACTATAATTTATAGACTTTCACAAAATAATTAACTCGTCTTCATATATAAATACTCTAAGTTAAATTTTGAGAACAATATTATACTTCCCTAATATTAAAATCATTGTCAATAGCTTGTCACTGTTAATTGCCTAAAAATCAATGAATTGCTAAGTTAAAAAGAAAAAAGGTAAAAATAATTTAGGAAAAGTGACAATTCAAGATCTACCAAAAAAAATCCAAAAATAAAAACAATCTCTTTTCAAAAAAGATCTACCTGATTGGAATAGTCTTCTTGCTTTATTTGAACCTTGGAAAAAATCTTTTTTTTTACTATCTGTGGCATTGGACAAGTCAATCCAACTGATCTTTCATTTAAATAAGCACTAGATTGAGATATCCAAAGAAAAACATTTAAACCTTAGCTTTTTTCATTAAAACTTTGTTATCACTTGAGAAACTTAGATAAAAGATGAAAGTTTATAATCCACATTACCCATCATTTAGTCTTTTAGTGTTATAAAAGTTTTTATTAAGAAACTTAAGCTTTTAGAAGCAAAAGTTTCTAGAACCTTCTTTTCAATTATTAATAATATTATTAAAGCATGTGGATATGACCAATAAGAGCTTGTTTACATTTTAAAAACTAACATGTTTCATATCAACCAATTATCTTTGGTGAGAATTTGTGCTACCTAAAATTCAGGGTCAAACTGAGATAAGCAAAATTCTCCAGAAAACCATAAAAGTAGAAGCTTTAAAAGGACCAAGACAGTTAAAAAGGGAGAAAATAAGCCTTTTTATTGTAAAAAATCTCTATAAATCTCTTACTTCAAAGGTTAGATAAGCCTTTAGGTACTTTATAGTTGGGTTTTCTTTTTTTAAGAACTTTCTTGCCATTAATATCAAAGGTGCTATTTGGCTTTTCTTGATTACTAAGAATCAAGTTTTTGAGTGAAAATATTTGTAAACAAAAGGGAAAGAGTAGAGATGATTCTTGCAGTCATATTTCAAGTTGTTTTAAGAAAAGTATTAAGATTTTATTAGCAAAGAAGTATAAAAACTTTTTATGAACATCTTTTTTATATGTAGTCAGAGGATCGGTAGAAAGAGTTTTTTTAATATATAAAGTAAAAGAATTGTTTTATAATAAATTAAGTAATAATAGTTTTATCAAGTATTCAAAATAAAATCTCTTGTCTAATTATTTGTTATAATTATATAATTAATAATTTAAATCCTTAATAAATAAAACTTTATATAATTGATACTATTAATTAAATTTCTATTATTATTT